GTTCATCAGGAGGTTTTAACTGAAGGGAGGGAAACTAACAACTGACAGCTGATTTGCATGATGCAAACTTTCTGATTTATTGTAACTTTTCCATGCATGATTGTTTTTTTTCCAGGAATCATGAACAGCACTGGTGAGTTATGGATTTGATTAATTGTCTGTTTCTGGGCTTCATTTCGTATCAACGAAATACGTGTTATCTGACGCCTACACTGCCGGAAACCCAAGACGAGGACGGAGGCGTAGAGCGGGAGGAAGGAAACGTTGATGAAGGTGTAGGTGTGGAAGACGGCCAGGCTCTCAGGAGAGTTCAGGCACACAACGTGGAAATCCTCAGCGGAGGAGTTGGACGAGGCGAAGAGCCGAGGAGCCACTGACGGGAACGACGAAGAGTTGAGGGACATCATCTCTGCAGGAAAATAAATAAAAACATGCAAGATTTATTTTAAAAAAACAGAGGAAATATCAACGTGTTTGGTATTTAAATCAAATTCTGGCCTTATATTTTAATAAGTTTCTAATTGTTTACAAACCCAGAAGATTCATAAAATAGTTTTAATTCCCATCAGAAAAATGTTTATGATGAAGATGCATCAAAATCTACAATGTAAGGATAAAAAGGAAATGATAAAATTAAGATAAAACATTTTATGAGAATAAAATCACACTATTTGATTAAAATTGTCCACAATTTTAATCAAACTTAATTTAATTCTGATCCATTCAGACAAAACAAAGTCAGTTCAGTTTCATCCAGTAATTTTCATTGGTTAAATTATTAAAAGTCAGTAGAAACATCTGGAACATTTGAACGTTTCTATTATAGAAATGAATAAAAACAGAAAAATGTCTCACCAGCAGCGTTTCCTCCAGACACATAAAGCTTCAGAAAGTCTTATTGGTCTGGATGTTTAATACATACGTGTTATTTGCATGTTAGGAAATGACTGATCATCCACGATTTAAATATGTTGGGGTTAAAATCCACTACCGCCGGTTCTGACTGCGTTTCAAAATGGCCGCTCCTCGCATCATCAGAAACATGTTTATTTCATTAATAAACCAGATATTAGACCAAATAGTTTAAGGACAAAACAAAAATCATGCAGGAGGAAAAGTAAAGAAATGATTTCTCACCTTATGAGAAATTTGGCATAAAAGTCCTAAAATATTCAGATGATTATGCATCTGGAAAAAGATCTGATGAAAAGATGTTTCTGGAGAACTGAGACTCCAGAAACATCATCAGTTTTCAGATGTGAACTCAGCAAAGAATCTGGTCATTACTAGATCCATTACGGATCCATTTCATCGTTAAAATTGGATCTTATCATTTTAGAAAATGATAAATATGATTGTATTTAGACCTGCAGTGCATAATATCCTGATGATTTACGCTACTGGTCTCCAGGCGCATCTATGTATGTTTTTTCTCCAAATAAACATGTCAGTTTATGTGATTTATCATCAGTTATGTAACCGTCAGCCTGCAGGTGATTTATCAGAGTTATGATCCTTCAGCTGCCAGGTAGAGCAGGAACAAGCTGCTATTTTTATTCATTTGTTTAATTAATGAATTAATCAAATGAAGCAGCTGCGGTTTGCATGCAGAGTTTGTGGATTAATTGTTCTGAGTTTTTTTTGTGCTCATTTCATTTTCATAAGTTTCTTTAAAAACAAATGGACTTTAACTTTACATTAAATAGCTTCAGTTGCATTTCGAAGTTTTTATAAATGTGTGAAGCTGTTTTGAAAAGAAAGATGATTTTCTTTTTATGTGACAGATCAACACAGAGTAACACGTCACTGGAAAGCTGGAAGAAATGAATGCATTCATTTTTTAAAATTGCTAATAAAAAAGTCTGGAAAGTATTGCGTCATGTTGCAATGACCAGATTTCGCCAGAAGATGGCACTGTGGTTTTAAATGACACTTTCTTTCAAGTTTAACTGTAATTTTTGTTTTTTATATTAGTGATTAAAATGGATCAGCCTCAAAAATGAGACTTTTTCTTTTATAAAGAGTGTTATCTATGAACGATTGGAGGAAGGAAGAGAAAAATGAAGAAAAGCATCACAGCCGAGTCAAAACTCCTGATTTTACTTACAAGCTATTGATACTGCAGCACAGCTGGATGCAGCAGACAATGAGACAATTACACCAATATCTTTTTTTTTAAATCATTAATTGTTTTTATTAGAGCACAGAGCTGAATTCTACATCTTCTTGTGTACAGATTGTGTTAACACTGCAGCACAACTATTTCTGACAGGAAGTTAGAAAAGTGAAATGAAGCGAAATTAGAGGAAACTCTATGAGGGACAAACAACTACTACAAATCAAAGTGGAAAATAATGCAACATTTGTTTACATTAAACAAGAAGCAAAGCAATTAAAACAAACTCATTTAATTCACCTCATTTTAAAACCTTTTCCTGTCGTCGTTCATCTGTGCTGTTTGTTTTCTTATCACTAATGTAAGGCTGACATTGACTCATTGTTTAAAAAACCAGTAATCAGGTGTCTTTTTCATAGTAGAAGCCAATGATAGCACTGTAGCGCAGCTAAGTCTGACAGGAAGTTAGAAAAGTAAAAGCTGAACATTTTGTAACAAGGCTCTAGTTTATAAAGGTTAGTTAGTTTCCGGCTCTGTGCAGAAACAGCAGAGGCAGAACCAGGCTGCTGGGAAACATCAGGAAGATTCCTAAATCCAGGAATCCGCAGAACCTGCTGGGATCCAGAGAGACCACGTGTTTCAACCCAAAACCCACCAGGAGCCCAGCAAATCTCAACACTAGAGTGACGGTTATGGCCGAGATTATGTAAAAAGCTCTGCGTTTGGTTTGGTCAGCCTGTCGTTTTTGATCGCCCGCCTCCGCTGACTCTGGGTGAGTTAGAACCCAGAGGACAGAGGAGCAGAAGAAAACCATCACACTGATGGTGAGAACTAAAAAAATGAAAAAAGGAACAGCTGGAAAGTGTGGCAAGTACACCCGTATCAGCCCCACCCATCCAAAACACAGCAGCCAAACCCAAACGGTGCTGATGGTTCTGATTTTGACCCGGTGGGCTTCCTTACTGTGCATGTAGGCGATGGGGTGAACAACGGCGAGGTAGCGGTCAGCGCAGGTCAGCACATGTAAGAATGTTTGTCCAGGTAAAATCATAGAGAATAAATAGACACCCAGAAAGAGCAGAATCTGACTTTCACAGTAAAAGCTGGTTGTGAAAGCGACGGATCCAACAACGCAAACGATCTCTAGGATTATCATGTTGAGGGTGAAGAAGTCGGAGGGACTAAAGGTCGCCCCGGCAGGGCGCTGATGTCTCCACCGCTGGACCGCCGTGTGGAGGACGGAGACATAGAGCGGGACGAGGAGGAGAACGTTGATGATGCAGTACAACAGGAATATCATTCTTCTGACTGCCGACTGCTGACAGGCCAGGAAAAAGGGAAGATCAGAGGAGTTGGAGGAAACAGGAAGGACACCAGGAGACAACGAAGCGTTGACAGACATGACCTAGAAAGACGAGCAAAAACTGTTAAACCATCGCTAACTAATCCTCTTTTAATTTATGAGCCCTATTGTCAGCAATACAGGAAGAAATGACAGGAATAGAGAACGGAAATGCTTCTTTCTTCAGCCCAGAATCACAATTTTTGCCGCACAACTGCCGATCTACGACAGAACAGCTGGAAAAACGAGGACAAAGACGTTGCAATAGCCCAGTCAAAGTCCGTATCAAGATTCCTTGTCAGACTAAAGGAGACATTTGTCTTTGTGCAGAACCAAACGTCTGCAAACCGCAGTGAGCTGAAGACATGTTGGCTGTAATTTAACTCTACAGGAATCAGATTTGATGACTGGAATATTAACGTTGAGCCTTTTGGACTTCAGATAAAAAGATTCCTGCAGTCATTTATCAATGAATCACTCTGCTTTGATTACTACAAACATATCAAATAACTCATCAAATCCATAAATAATCCAGGATATTCTAGACACAGTGATTCTCAATATTGTATAAAAAGTAATATAAATAAAAAAGTGATAGAAATGTACCTGTTAATTTGGATCCAACCTGCATGTATCGTCTTTCTGGTTCTGACTGTCAGAATTGGACAATGACTCCACATATATTTGGACTTAAACCAACAAACCGAACTGATCGAATGTTTTCGTGTAACTTAATCCCGGTGAGTCAGTCATTAGTGATCTCAGCTGTCGTTTAGTTTGAAATGGAGACGTAAAAGCGTCTGATGTTTCTCGTTCTAAACCCAGCATGTATGCAAACGCAGCAAATGAAGCGGTGGTGTAGTATGGCATGTCAATGCAAACACAATCAAAAGCAAAATGTCTTTTCATCGCACTTTGATTAAACAAATAAAAAATATAAGTACAAAAATAACTAAACTTCAGAGCTAAGAACATATTTGATTTGGTTTAGTTTCATATTCCAGAATAAATGTAAAAATCAGTAAATAAAAATAAATACTGCAACATAGAAATAACTGAAATACTTAAATATAGAAATTGCAACTTTTAATAAATAAATAAATCAATTTAATTAGCTAAATTGTTATCATATTAAATAATGGAAGAAAGAGAAAATGAAAAAGAAAGAAGCAAAGAGAAAATTACAGCATATTAATAATTAGGATTTTATTATGATTTATAACTAAATAAATACAAATAAATTAAGAAATAAAGTTGGGAATTTTTAAATAGATAAACGAGGAAATGGAATTAAAACATTAATTTATTTTGTGTTTTAGCAAACATAAATCATTTATTTAAAATAAAACAGCAGAAGAATAGTAATAATCATATGTTTTGTGATAATTTAATGAATTAAACTCTCTCTGCCAGGAGGTTTTAATTGCATGACCGTTAGTTGTTGTGAAAAATATAATTTCTCCTGATAAAAAGCTCAGAATTATTAAAATATTATTAATCTACTGCAGAGCGGAACCTTCGTGGTGCGTTTCCAATCGGACTGTTTTTGCTGACGCACCAGCGGGGCAGAAGTTTGGACTTTTCTCCCGTGTTTTCCCGTCTCCTGCTCAGCGGGGCGGTTTTCTGGAGCATGTCTGGGCTTCCTCGCTTCCTCCGCTTTTCGCCCTCAAACTCGGAGCGGATATGGCGCAGAGGAAGCGCAGACAAGTGCGTCGGTTTGTCTTCCAGAGCGAACTTTCTGCGGCCCGGTGGAGCCGACCCGGACGGCAGAGGCGAGTCCAGGCGGTACAGCAGCTGCAAACCGGTCCGGATCGGCTGCGCCTCCGGGTTCTGGGGGACACGGCCACGTCGGGTAAGAACTGGCGGAGGGTTCGGTGCCGCGGAACCGCTCAGCTGCGGGGCATTTCCGGTTGGTTAATAAACAACAACCTGCGGGTTCTGTAAGGATGCGTTCTGGTGTTATGATGCTTTGCAGAACTATTCCCCCCTTAAGCACCTCGGTTCACTGGGACTTTAGGTGACAGACTCATTTACTTTGACTAGGCCACCTTATTGCAGCTTCCCATCAGCTGTGCTTTCAGGTAAAGGGTGCAGTTTGTTTTCCTCCAGGTAAAATCAGGGTCAGGATTCTTCCACCTGACCTCTGGATCGCTGACCTCTTGTTGCCATGGCAACAGAGGCTTTGAGCCTGACCCATTTAAAAGCCTTCAAACATTTTGGTTCCTGTGACAACATTTAAAGAAACACACACAGCCGGAGCCAGAAGGTCCGGTGGTTCTGCTCCTCTGGGCCCGCTGATCGGACACTGGTTCTGTTTTCAGCCCCTCAGCTGATCTACGGCGGGAAGCTGGACTTCCTGGTGTTCGACTACCTGAGTGAGATCACCATGTCCCTGCTCACCGCCGCCAGGACCAAGACACCTGTGAGTCTCACCTGTTCAACACTCACCTTTTCAACATTCACCTGTTCAACACTCACCTGTTTAACATTCACCTGACTATTTAAAGCAAACCAGACAAGCACCATTTATTAGTCTTAAAAATTCTTAAAGATTTTTATTTATTTTTTATTTTGCTTATAATTTCTGTATTATAATTTCTTGGTTTTTGTCCATAATGTATTTTTTTACTTTATGGCAATTATATTTTTCTTTATCATTAATATTTTTTTCCTTTTTAATACAATAAATAATGTAATCTGAGTTATCCAGTCTATTTCGGCCATGAAAGCAAAATTAAAGGCTTGACAGAAAGTCATAATTTCAACTTTCAAAGTTGTAAGTTTGAGATCCAGTCACAGTTATGAGAATCAATTATTTGATTGAAAGTCATAATTTCGAAATTATAAATGATAATTAAATTCAGAAATAATGAAAAAAATTCTAATTTTGATTTTCTACTTCATAATTTTTATTGCCACTTCAAGACTTTAAATTATAACTTCCTGTGTGGTTTTATATGTTTTTCATGGCAGTAATGACTTCCTGTCCTGATCTGCGTAAAAACTTTAGTTTTTATCTGAATCAACAGATGAAACATGATTTTCATCTGCAGTTGCAGCTCGGCGCCTGCAGGTGGTGCTGTTGTCCCTGCTTTAAAGCTCGTTCTCTCCTTCCTGCAGAACCTGGGTTACGCTCTGGACTTCGTCCAGGTGGCTCTGGCTCCGTTCATCAACGACATCCACAGGAAAGGTATCCGTGTCGTCAGCAACGCGGGCGGAGTGAACCCGCTGGCCTGCGCTGAGGCCATACAGGAAGTCATCAAGAAGGCGGGGCTGGACCTGAAGGTCGCCGTGGTGACCGGTGATGACCTCATGCCCAGCGTACGACGCCTCCTCTGATCTGACGACACGTCCTGAGAGTTTAAGTTGATCTGAGATGATCTCTGGTTTCCTGCAGAGGAGCCTCCTGTCTGAAGTAAAGATGGCCGACGGCGGCGGCAGGCGGCCGCTGCCTAAAACGCTGCACAGCATGAACGCCTACCTGGGGTACGAACATGGAAATATAGATATAAAGATGAACTGATGTGTTTACTGATGTATTTTATTTATTTATTATTATTGAATAGAAAGCACAAAACAAAACCTGATGTAATTTTTGAATCATAAATGCCTTAAATTTACCGTAAATATCCTAATACGATTCCCTTCCTGTGTTCAGGGCCGAGCCGATCCGCCGCTGCCTGGACCTGGGAGCCAACGTTGTGGTGACGGGGCGCTGCGTGGACAGCGCCGTGGCTCTGGGACCGCTCCTGCACACGGTACAGCTGACTGACTGTAGAGGATTTAGGAAGCGCAGAAAGCAACTGCAGAAAACCTGCATCATGAAAACCGCATGCAGAAAGATCCCAGGTTGGGATTTGAACCCAGGACCTGCTTGCTGCTAGGCAACAGTGCTAACAACTCCAGGTTTAAAGCATTGAAATCCAGATGTTGCTCACATTTCTTTAATTAATACATCGCATCACTCAAAATACACTGGCATAGCATAGCACATCATAGCTGCAGTATATTGTAGCATAGCATGTGGTAGCATTAAATGCTGTAGCACAACACAGTATAGCATTCTGTGGAATAGCACATTGTAGCATAGCATGCTGTAGCCTTGCATACGGGATCATAGCATGCTATAGCATAGCATGCTAAGTGGGATATTATAGCGTAGCATGTTGTAGCCTATCATTCTGTAGCTTAGCATAGCACATTATTACATCAGTACATAGCTGAACATATTACATAGTATTTAGAAAATATTTCATTTATTTTTATAACTTAGTATAGCATAAAATAACATCATGTTCCTAATAACAGCCTAGCATAGCTTAGCATACTGTAGCATTTAGAAGATCTTTGGAGGGATTTGAAATCTGACAGAATATCCTGCCATATTCGGCCTTTCACTGAAAATGACTCAGTTATTTTCCCAAAGTTTGGTTTCAAGTTAACTCTGAACTATTTGTGGCTAAAGATTTATGTAGAAATAATAGTTTGGTTTCCATCGCAGGACTTTATGGCTGTTTTAATCTGAGTTTTGTTCAGATGTGACTTTAAGTCAGTTTGTTTCTGTTGCAGTTTGGTTGGAAGAAGGACGATTACGATTTGCTTGCAGCAGGAAGGTAAAAAAACACAAACACTAGAAAATCCAGCAGGATTTAAAATAAATATATATTCTTCTATTCAAGTTTTTATTTCTTGCTGTGTAAATGCAGGTGGGGTTTTTTTTGTACAGCTTAGAGCAGCAAACACATAAGATCAGACCAAAAACAATCTTATTGTAACACAAACGTTGCATAATTATTATCATTATCATTAGACTGGTGGAAAAATTAAGAAAAAACAATTGAAATGTGAATAAAAACATAAAATAAATGCTGAACCCAGAAACATGTTTTTGAATCTCGTCGTTGTCGTTTTGCGTTTCAGCCTTGCAGGTCATCTGATTGAGTGTGGAGCTCAGAGCACCGGAGGGATCTTCACCGACTGGCACCAAGTTCCCGACTGGTGAGTTTCTGATTTTCGTTCATCCATCTCCAAATAATAACTGTGTTTTGAGGAATCTTTCTGGTCACAGCTGCTCTCTGCTCCCCTCTCAGGGACAACATGGGCTTCCCGGTGGTCGAATGTTCCTCCGACGGATCCTTCGTTCTCTCCAAGCCTCCGAAAACCGGCGGCCTGGTCTCCTTCGGAACCGTCGCCGAGCAGCTGGTGTACGAGATCGCCGACCCGCGGAGATACCTGCTGCCCGACGTCATCTGTGATTTCAGCCAGGTGGCGATCCAGGAACTGCCCGGTACACACACACACACACACACACACACACACCACACACACACACACACACACACACACACACACACACACACACACACACACAGTCCTGAGGACATGACCACAGTTTGAACTGCTGACTGTTTTCATAACCCTGAAAATCTCCTAAACAAATGCATCTGGAGCTTCGTTTGGCCCCCTGACTGAACCCTTCACCCTCCTCTGAACCTCCATTAAACTCTCTATCAGCTATCAGTCACAGATTTTCCTTTTATAAACCTAAACATGGATCCGTCAGCCCGGCCTGAACCTTTGGGCAGCAGCGCCTAACCTTCCCTTGAACTCCAGAAACCTTCTGCTGAGCTCCTCCTCGCTGATAAAACGCCTCATTTTCTGCCTGTTGGTCATTAATTCAGGACTTTCTTGATTGATAGAGAGAAACTTCACTGCTGTTGCCAGATTTCTGAAATTCCACCCTCAGGTCTCCCTCCCTCTGCTCAGCCTGAGTAAATAAGAGCTGTGTGTGCATTTTGGTTCCAGTACATCCAGAATATTTCACACATGTATGTCAGTGACCCGGTTACATCTCGGTTAGTGAAGACGAGGGAACAGAGTCAGCAAATGAAAAACATGGTTTCTACAGAAATCTGTACATTATATCCCTTAAAACCAGAATCAGCCGTTAATGTTTGAGCAGTGATGGGAACTTCCAGCTGGAAAATATAAATACTTCAGTCTGATTGGACCTCGTTGAACTCAGAGCCGTTTGACCGCGAGCCGACCCGTCTCGGTTTATCTCTGGACCTTAACGAGGCGGGTTGGGGAACCAGAGACGGGTCAGTCTGCAGCTCTGCGGTGAACAAAACGCTGCGGGACGAAACCGGAGGAGAGGCGGCGTCCAGAACCAGGACGGTCCGCTCCGTAGATTCAGACGGTTCAGATACGGAGACAACAGAGGACACAGAATAAATCATTTAAGAGTTTATTAAAAACGTTAAATTATAAAAAGTGTTTAGAAAATAAAAAAATACATAAACACTATTAAGAAATAGTTTAAATATATGTTTTGTGTCTCAGTGATGTTGATAAGTCGTGTTTCAGGTGTAGACGGAGGGGCCGTCAGAGTCACCGGCGCCAGAGGTTTGGCCCCCTCTCCTGACTACAAGGTAAATCCGCAGCGTCACCAGCAGAGGGCGCCACCAGGAGGAGACGGGACTCCATAGCAAAGGGTTAATGGTGATGTCATTGCCGGCGTCCAGGTGTGTGCCACCTACATGGACGGGTTCAGAGCGACGGCGGTGTGTCCGGTGGGCGGGCCCAGAGCGGCGGAGAAGGCCCGGCGGACCGCGGACAGCATCATCAGACGGTGCGTGCCGGAGAACCGACCCAGCTGGATGGTTCTTCTCATTCTGTTCTCTGGGTTCTCTGGGTTCTGATCACATAAATCATCGCTGACTGAGTTTAACGGGTTTGTTCTGTTGGTTCAGAACCAGGAGGATGTTTCGGCAGTTGGACCTGGAGGATTTTCACTCGGTTAATATTCAGGTTCTTGGAGCTGAAGACACTTACGGCCCAAACGCTCGCAGAAAAGTAAGAAAACCAAACAGAACCTGATATTCTGCAGGTTCGGGTCCAGTAATGGTTGGTGTTGGGTTGGAACATTGTTTTACATTTTTACAATTTTTCTCTTTCTACCAAAAACTGGATGACAAAAGTCTTCAGTCTGGTTATTTGGTTTCTACCAGCTTTTATTTTGAAGGACAACTTTGTCTCCAGAGACTTTATAAGTAATTTTGTTTGTTGTTTAACATTTAAAATGTCTTCCAGTTCCAGTGTTAAATGCCCATTAGATTTTAAAGTGTATTAATGTTGTGTTCTTTCATTATAATGATCATTATTGAAAATGGTCTCAAAGCAACAGAATTATTAAGTTTATTCACCTTAAGGAATGTGTTCTTCATTAGGGGATTATTATATTTTACATCCAGCAACCTTTGTTTTCCTGACAGGCCTGTTTCTACCAACGTATCTTTAGCATAATTGATTTAAAAGATGAATGTTTGCTGCGTGGTTCCTCTGTCTGCGTCTCGGTGTCGGACCAACTGGGTCAGGGTCAAAGCTAAGCCTGTTTCAAGCCTCTGAACTCCTCTGTGTGTCTCTTGTTCTCCATTCGCCACAGACGCTGCCGTGAACCTCGGCTCCCCGCCTGGAGCCTCCTGCAGAGGCTGCAGCGGAGCGGCGCCGCCAGCCTGCAGCGGATCAACCTGACTCTGGTCTGTGTCTGTGTGCAGGACTGCAGAGAGGCCGTGATCTGGATGGCCGTCCACCACCAGCAGAAGAAAGCTCTGGAGATCTTCTCCAGGGAGGTGGCTCCCGCAGGAACAGGCATGGGTACGGAAACCTCTCCACACCCAGAGGCTCCCTCTGTAGCTACATGCAGAGCAACTGCATCTGAACGCCAAATATTACAGAGTATTTATTCTGGTTTCTGCTGCAAACGTCTTGAACATTTTAAATAAGAACAGAACTTTCCATCAACATGTTGGAGTTTAAGTCAATTATTTCACTTTCAACTTTGGGGAACATGTCTCAGTGTAAGTTAAAAATCTTTCAGAAAATCGTAAAAATAAATCAAATCGCATCAAATTGTATCGTTTCGAAAAATATAGTGATATATATCGCATCGTGAGCAGAATATCGTGTATTGTTTTGTGAGATTATTGAATCGCTACACCCGTACTCCATGTATGTTTCTGATGAGGGAGTGACATCACAACGTGATGCAGACCTGAAAAAAGTCCATTTTACATAACACTGCCCTTTAATTCAGGTGTTGTAATAACAACGCCCCTTTAATTCAGGTGTTGTAATAACACCGCCCCTTTAATTCAGGTGTTGTAATAACACTGCCCCTTTAATTCAGGTGTTCTAATAACACCGCCCCTTTAATTCAGGTGTTCTAATAATACTGCCCCTTTAATTCAGGTGTTCTAATAACACCGCCCCTTTAATTCAGGTGTTGTAATAACACTGCCCCTTTAATTCAGGTGTTCTAATAACACCGCCCCTTTAATTCAGGTGTTCTAATAATACTGCCCCTTTAATTCAGGTGTTCTAATAACCGCCCCTTTAATTCAGGTGTTCTAATAACACTGCCCCTTTAATTCAGGTGTTCTAATAACACCGCCCTTTAATTCAGGTGTTGTAATAACACTGCCCCTTTAATTCAGGTGTTCTAATAACACCGCCCCTTTAATTCAGGTGTTCTAATAATACTGCCCCTTTAATTCAGGTGTTCTAAAACACCGCCCCTTTAATTCAGGTGTTGTAATAACACTGCCCCTTTAATTCAGGTGTTGTAATAACACCGCCCCTTTAATTCAGGTGTTGTAATAACACTGCCCCTTTAATTCAGGTGTTGTAAAACACCGATCCTTTAATTCAGGTGTTGTAATAACACCGCCCCTTTAATTCAGGTGTTGTAATAACACCGCCCCTTTAATTCAGGTGTTGTAATAACACTGCCCCTTTAATTCAGGTGTTGTAATAATACTGCCCCTTTAATTCAGGTGTTGTAATAACACTGCCCCTTTAATTCAGGTGTTGTAATAACACTGCCCCTTTAATTCAGGTGTTCTAATAACACCGCCCCTTTAATTCAGGGTGTTCTAATAATACTGCCCCTTTAATTCAGGTGTTCTAATAACACCGCCCCTTTAATTCAGGTGTTGTAATAACACTGCCCCTTTAATTCAGGTGTTGTAATAACACCGCCCCTTTAATTCAGGTGTTGTAATAACACCGATCCTTTAATTCAGGTGTTGTAATAACACCGATCCTTTAATTCAGGTGTTGTAATAACACCGATCCTTTAATTCAGGTGTTCTAATAACACCGCCCCTTTAATTCAGGTGTTCTAATAATACTGCCCCTTTAATTCAGGTGTTCTAATAACACCGCCCCTTTAATTCAGGTGTTGTAATAACACTGCCCCTTTAATTCAGGTGTTGTAATAACACCGCCCCTTTAATTCAGGTGTTGTAATAACACCGATCCTTTAATTCAGGTGTTGTAATAACACCGCCCCTTTAATTCAGGTGTTGTAATAACACCGATCCTTTAATTCAGGTGTTGTAATAATACTGCCCCTTTAATTCAGGTGTTGTAATAACACTGCCCCTTTAATTCAGGTGTTGTAATAACACCGCCCCTTTAATTCAGGTGTTGTAATAACACTGCCCATTTAATTCAGGTGTTGTAATAACACTGCCCCTTTAATTCAGGTGTTGTAATAACACTGCCCCTTTAATTCAGGTGTTGTAATGTACTTGCAGTAGAAACTGGACCATAGAGATGGTAAAATGTTGTTTTCGCAGCGTGAAACTCTGATTTAACTGATTGCGTGAGGAAAAGACAGAACTCAGATGGCGGCTCTGAGGATCCTTTCTCTGAGAAACTATTTGATCATTGGGGTAAAATCTGATCAAAATCCCTTGCGGTTCAGATGTGCGTCGATGTTTGTGTCTTTTCTGTGGCGGCTCCATTTTCTCCTGATGTTTCCTCAGCAGTGCGGTTTCCATCTGGTCCAACTCTTCCTCTGGTGCAAAGTTCAGCTGCTGGGTTGTGTTTTAATTTGCCTCCTTAAACTGACATTCATTCAGTTGTATGTGTTTTATATTTTGGCTGTCGTCGTTATGAAACGTCCTAAATAAAGTTCCAAAGCAGCTTCAGAAATCATCAGGAAGACGAGTCGCTCTGTTAAACCTGCTGGCTTCTCTCTGTACTTGTACTCTCAAATGAATCTTTAATTGCTGCAGCATCATATCCCATGATATTCAGACGATGTGACGGACAATCCCATCGTCTCAAACGGGAAAGACGGGCTGACCTGCAGTACCAGGCGTAACCAGCAGAAGCACCACAAACTGTTACGTAAAAATAAGAAATATTTCTGAAGTGTGAGTTTCACAATGTTCCTCTGGCCATCGGTCTCAGACTGCACGGCTGATTATGTAATGGTGTTTGTGAAGCAGAGCGTTTGCATGTATTTATGAAACGTGACCAATAGGAAGGCTCCTCCGCTTCCTTATCGTTGCTCTGCAGCAGAGTGGAAACCAAAATGTGAACCGAAGTTGGTCCAGAGGTTTCTGGATGTTTCTCTGCAGTCGGTGAAGTCATGCTGCCGTTAATTAATCGTCTTTGTTGTTTGGAAGTCAGTGAGCAGTAAACAGACTGAGGTTTACTGAACTGCCGCCTTCCTCGGCCGGCTGCAGATAGCAGAGGTCACGACCTCTGGAGCCGCGTTCGGGTCGGACTCTTTCAACTCGGAGTGAACCCTGCCTGACTCTGGCCAGTTCCCGCTCTCATCTGATGACCTGAAATCTTGTTTTCTCCCTGCAGCTCCTGGACTCACCGGCATCGTGGGCGGACGACCCAGAGTGTGAGTTATTCCCCGTTTCACATAAAAACCTGAGAATCGACGTGTTTAAGTCTGTGTCTGGTTTATACTCACAGGTCTCCAGTCCTGAAACCGATTTCTTCTTGCATCCCAAAGCCCAGATAAAGGTCAGTTTATCTCTGATGACCTGATGTCAGCAGGTCTTGAGTTTCTGGGAAACCAAAACAACGTGAAGCTGAAGAGCCTCCAGGTTTAACGTGCTCTCACCTGAAGCGCCAACATTCAACAGGTGGACATCCACGTTGCTGGACAACTGGTAGAGTCGCTTGTTGAAGCGGGACCGGACGCACCTGAGCAGCCGCAGGATGAAGCTCCTCCCACCTCTGGTCAGGATGAAGCTCCTCCCACAGGTGAACAAACGTCTCACGTTCTCTCAGTAAGTCCTGATTGGATCTGAAGTTCTGCGTGTTTCAGATTCATTCCTGCAGCAACGCTGGATTTCTATCGGCTGGTCCGAGTTCAGAGTGATCAGAACCTCCGGTTCTGATTGGTTCATCAGTTTATAGATGAAAACGACCTGGCAACAAGAACTCCTGTTAGTTTATTTTACCAACAACATCCTTGAGGGATTCTGGGTTTTTTAAGTTCTTGGTAATGACTTTCATTGGCTTGGTTCGTTCTGTTGGGACACATCAGCAGTCGACCTTGTTTTGATTTTATCACTGGTGTTATTATTATTATTATTATTATTATTATTATTATTGTTATTATTATTATTATTATTATTATTATTATTATTATTATTTATTATCTTGAATTGCTTCTTGTTTACCCAGATTGTTTTGTATGGATGATGAAGATAAACTACAGTATTTAGAGATTATTGTGTAAAAAATGTCTGAGTTATGAGTTTCACCTCAACATCAGGATCAATGTCGGTATTGATAACCGTATTAGTTGATTTATTTAAATTTCAGGTTACTTTAAAAAACCCTCAAGATGTGTGGTAATATTTAAAAACTAATCATTCATAATGCAGGACGTTCAGGGTTCTGTTCACCTCTGGCATCAGAACTAGTGTTGCTGGTTCTGACCCATTTCCTGTTTTCAGTGGTTTTGTTCTGCAGAACCTCAGGCTGTTCAGACGCTGCTCCTCTTTACAAAACCTGCATGCAAACTGCAGTGTTTTTATTTTGTGTATGCATTCACTTTCAGACGTGCTTGGAAGTGAACAGAAGTGGATCCATAAAACATGAAGTAGCTCCAGTTACAGTCATTATAAAGCACAAAACATGCTACTTGAAAACATTACAGGTTTCTAGAGTCTCAATTGATTACAGATGTCTTTGTGCACTCATTGTTTTTTCGCCCATTTCATAGATTCTTGACATTCTTAGCAACTTTTTACGAGCTTTTCTGGTTTGTTGAGAGCCTTCAGCTCGAAGTGAACGGGTTGCATTCGGACCACTGGCAGGAAGCAAACAGCTAAAGGCTGAATGTGTGTTTGTCTCTGTTGTGCCACAAGTTTCTGGGCCAAACACGCAGGTCTTTCTGGTTCCTTCCAGACCTGCCCAGTGGACCACACAGCTACCGGCTGGAGGACCTGGCATACACACGCAGCGGCGACAAAGGAGACTCGGCAAACATCGGTGAGAACCTGAGTAAACCTCAGCGCTGCGTCTGAATGCAGCCAAAGACCCAGATACAGAGCGGAGAGCTCCTCAGACAAGCTTTCAGCCACAAAGAGAGATTTAATAGGGAAGGGAGACCGCGACTCGTTAAATGGTAGTTAAATTTAATCTTTCAATGCATTCATGCTCTGATCAGATTCTATCAGCCCATAGCAGTTTAAACCAGGCTGTGGTGCCACTATGAAGTGCGGCTGTCCCAGGGTTTCTCAGACTCCTGACCTTTGGCCCATGATGTCACGCTCTTCAAAACTCCGCCCACTCCGCCATGACAGGCAGCAAACAACCAGCTCAGCCTAATTTCACTTGATTTAGTTGATTTCACTTAAAAATGGCCACAGACAGACAAACACTTTCTACAAGTTAACGATCTTATAGAAAAGTCTGATTACAAAGACATCAACGCGTCCAGCCATGGAGACACTGCTGCACCGTCAGGTAGCTAGCATCTGTCTTTTGTTGAGTTTTAATGCTGCTGGGGCTTAAGGGGAAATTCAGTTTATGACATATTCATATAAATCATGTCGACAAAGTGAGTGTTAAACTTAAAATCCTTCGCTTGTCTCCGTAGGTGTGATCGCTCGCCATCCTCTCTACTTCCCTTACCTGAAGAAGCACCTGACTTCTTCTGTGGTGGAGGACTACTTCTCTCACCTGATGGAGCCCGGCGTGCAGAACGCCGTCACACGGTGAGAACAGAGGCTCGTACTGTGGGACTTTAAGCACCAAGTTGAGCCAGTAAGGCTGGAAAGCAGAGCATAAAACACACTTCATCTCTCCAGGCTCTTTGTTTCTGAGCGCTGAACAATTCCTGCTTGATTTAATCGTAATGTTGTGATCCTGGAATAGAAAAACGTTTCTACAGGGAGGGTTGGGCTTCTGCTTTACATCTGACAAAATGTTTTAACCCCACTGATGACAGAGCGGACCGTCCTGGAGACAGAACCAAACTAAACGTACAATAAAATGTTTTCCTCCCTACATATTGAAAAACAAGCTCCAAATTAATACAAATATTCTTACATGTGTGGCCACTTTTTTCTTTAATTTTGCAAAACAATGGCAATGTTTTTAAGAAACATGTCTGAGTTTGTCATAAACATGTGAGAAACAGCCGACAAAACTACACAATCTTATTTTCTGCCTCTGGTGCAAATATAAACTGAATAACAAGCAGCTCATCAGTGAAATATAGGAGTTTGTTTTCAGTAAATATTGAATTAAATCGATTTAAAATGACTGATCATTTCACTTATAATTCTCCCATGTTTTAAAATTTGTACTTTCTCATCATTATGAAGGACTTAAAACAAGCCGACATATCTTGCTGAAATGTTACTGGTATGTTTTGCCTTATTTGAAGAGAACTGAGACAATAGAAACTCCTGGTTTCTGGTTCTGTAAGTTTTTTACATCAGATTAATAATCTGCATCAGAAATCTGTAATGGAAGTTTTTTGTGGCTCTTCATTAAACCGACGTCGATCTGCAGCTCCAGGTTTCTGTCTCTGCAGGTCAGTTGGATAAACAACATGTTGTTGTTCATTTAAAGTTACATTCACATAAATTCAGACACAATGAGAACCAGGTTATAACTTTCTGTTGTTTGAACTTTCAAAGTAACTGAGTGTTTAATCTGGAGCTCAGCCTCAGAACGTGGCGTGGTTCTGATTAGCCCAATAAGAGTTTCAGGCTGTAAATCCGACTGACCAGCGCCTCCTTTCACACCTCCAGCCGCCCCCCGCCGCCACAGACGCTTCGTTAGCGCGCCTGCTGCTCGTTAGCGCTGCGGGCGGCCGCGCTGCCTCACCTTTAAACGCTTACAGACACACCGCTCTGTTTCTGAGGGTCGCACTTCGCCGCCGTGCTCTCACACACACACACACACACACACACACACACACACACACACACACACACACACACACACACACACACGTTACACTGTAGTGGTGATTCAGCCGTTCATTCATCACATATGAACTTCTGGTAAGTCCCACAGCAGGTCCAAGAAAAACACGGCCAGGCATGAGCGCATGAGCCGAGCTCTGGGTTCTCACTGTGGGGTCTGTGGTTCCAGATTCACTCTGCCGGGGATTCATGGCCTCAACTTTGTCCTGACGAGCTCCCTGGGGGGGGGAGGGGTGGCCTCGCTCCGCAGCGACCCCCAGGTAACACACACACACACACACACACACACACACACACACACACACACACTCAGAGCTTCGTCTGCTCACTTCAAAGAGTGACCTCGGTGTCAAACCTTTACCTGAAGTTTTGCCTCTAAACCTGCAGACAGACGGGAACTTTCTGCTTGTTCAGCTGTTTTCTGACCCGTTTCTGTTTCCTGTCCTTGTTTTGACCACCTCTCCTCCCACATGAAGGTTAAACGAGTCCAGACACCTGAAGGTTCACTCAGCACTGAGGAATGTCAGGGAGCTGCAGATGAACCAACAACAAGTAGAAAACCTGCAAAAGAAAAGACAGATGATTTTCTACTGAACCTTTAAAATCTTATTAAAACCTTAAAGGTTCTTTGAACAGGCTGTGATATGTCTACGGTCTACACAAAACATCTTCATCACATTTTTGTACGTAAACATTCTTAGAGGATGAAACTCTGTTGAAAAGCAGAAGTAGCGCCTCCTGCACAATGAATAAAACTGCAGCAAGTCGTGTCTTGACGGTAAATCAACAACATAAAACTTGTTTTTCCAGCAGCCATTGTAACCAGCTGGTTTTTCAAACCGTGCATTTTTCAGTCAGCAAAAAACAAAGTTTTGTCAGAAATGTGTTGGGTGATTATTTTAAATGTCTGCTTTGTTTTTAGAAGCAGTAAAAACCCAAACAGTACAAAAATCCAGCAAAATGTGAATTTTTCTAATTGTTTCCCCATAAATCAGCATTTTATCACATTTAATCTCAAATTTCAACAATGTTCTCTAACGGAGCAAGAAAAGTTATTTTATAAATTAATAACTTCAACATAAATGCAGAAACCAGAGGATTTACTGTCTTCCATTAAATTTTATTTCAAAGTTTTGTTTGTTTTCAGTTGATGAAAATTGACTCTGAAGAACAGAATAATAATAATAGAGTTTTATTATTTTTAAAGCTTTGAATAAAATTTACTTCTGTTTGTTTTTACCTTCAGCTCTTCCAACATGTTGGACAAAATCAAATTAAAAAACACTTTATTGATCCCAGAGGGAAATTACTGACTTCACCTCCTTTCACTGGCATCTTTACTGATATTTTATGAGCTACGTTTATTGTTTTACAATGAAATGTTCAATCCGAGGTGAAACTTTGACTGAAACACTCATTTTGTTTTATTTGAACAGCTTCAGTTTTATGTCCTTGTCTCAGACATCAAACTGTTTGTGCAGGACTCGGCGTTCCCAGTCAGATCACCCAGTAGAGTCTGAACTCCCAGTAACTGCTGGCTGTGCTGTGACAGCAGCTCTTTGTCGTGTCACTTCCTCAGTGAGGAAATCCCTTCTCGTTTCAACAGTCGATTTGTTGAGGAGTTGTGAAATGCTCTGCTTTTGGTGCTTGGTTCTGTTTTAGTTGCATGTGGAAGGAAAATGTGGAAACGGTTTGTGAACAGGTTGATGTCCAATTCAGCTCAGATGCAGACAAACACTCAACGTTCCTGAATGTTGTTTCACTTTGCTGAATGCCACAGTAATGAGAAAAGGATGTTTT